TCCCTACGCCCATCAGCAGCAAGGTGTAGCAGAAAGAATGAACAGGACTCTGCAGAACAGCATGCGCAAACTGTTGCGTGGCATGCGGCTACCCAACCACCAGTGGCCTGGCGCGATGGACCACGCTGTCATGCTGCACAACTTGCTCTCATCTTCATCACTACCGAACAAGAGCATCACCGCATCTGCTGTAGGACAGGAAAACAGGGCAGCACAAAAATGTTACGAGTGTTCGGATGCATGTACAGTACCGACCCCCAGCAGCACGAGCGGGGCCGATTTCACAACGCGCAACGTGGGGACTACACCTCGGCATCGAAAAGAACTACAACGCGTGGAAAATCTTTGACGTCCAGTCCAAGGAAACAGTAGCAGCACGCGACGTCATTTTCTACGAACGATTCACGCTCCAGACATACCTTGCCAACCTGCAAGAGGACCAAGATCCCACAGGTGGTTTTCGTGGTGACCGAAGCCTTCGCCCTCGGCAGCAGACGAAGCTGACTGGGGACGAGCAGAATGTGGCCAGCGCATCAGAAGAAGCTGGACCCCTTCCGTTCTGCTCCGTCGACGTCCCCATGGACGAAGATAACCCTTGCGAAAGTGTCAACGCCGAAAACCTTCTACTACTTCGCCGACAACGGTTACGTAACACCTGCGACAGTCACACCAACGAAAGCAGAACGAGTAGGACCCGAATTTCATACCTGATCCAGAAGCGGGGAGATGAAGCAGCTTATCCCGAGGATGCAACTCTTCCCCGCTACTCACAGACTGGACTGCAGATTCTCGGACTCGTCACCGCAGTCCACGGCAACACTCTTCCTAAGGAGCCTGCGACGGTTCAGCAGGCTCTGGGGGGGGAACACAGGGAAAAATGGCGTGAAGCCATGGACAGAGAGTTAAAGGCGCTGGAGGAACGGAAACACCCTGGAAAGTTGTCCCCATCAGCGTGGCAAGGAACAAGACCATTCTCACCGGGAAATGGGTCTTCCGCGTTAAAACAAAAGCAGACGGCACAATTGAGAAGTTCAAAGCACGCTGGGTTGTGCGTGGATTCGATCAGGAGCACGGACGGGACTTCACCGAGACATTCGCCCCGGTTAGCCGACATACCTCACTTCGAATCCTCCTCGCGATCGCCGCCATGAAGAAAAGGAAAGCTACGGCAAATCGATGTCGCCAACGCGTTCCTCTACGCACCTGTCGACGTGGAAATCTTCGTCGAGCTCCCACACGAGTACCAACGGGGGAACCTAACCAAGTCTGTCAACTGTTGAAATCACTTAACGGGATCAAGCAAGCTCCGCGGCTATGGCAACAGTACCTACACGCTCGCCTCATTCGCATCGGATTCCGCCAACTACCCTCACGACCAAGGAATGTACCGACTCACTAAAGACACCGACTACATTCTGCTGATCGTCTACGTAGACGACCCTACTCTACATCGGCTCCACTGACGACATCACCACCTGGTTCGAAGGGGAGCTACAGAGGGACCTCACACTCACAGGGTCTCCTCTACCGTCACACAGTACACTCGGCTTGAACATTCGGGAAGAAGAAGGCGCGATCTACCTCACGCCGCTAAGTACGCCGACACCATCGCCAAACGCTTCGCAGCTCACACTACCACCATCTCTACGCCCTAACGCCACGCGACAGGAAACCACAAGGAAGGATCCTCTCTACTCAAATCCGCCGGGATACGCGACTACCAGAGAAAGCTAGGATGCCTTCTCTTCGCAGCTATCAACCTGCCGCCCCGACCTCTCATACTCCGCAAAGCCCAGCTCGCCACCTACCTCAAGAAGCCTGAAGCAGACACACCTGGCGGAGCTCGACCGCGCTCTCCAGTACTTCGTCAGTACCTCAACGATCGGCCTAACTTACTACAAGAACACAACTACACCGACTAAATTAATCGCTACGTCGACGCTGATCACGCTGGCGACTCCGACAACAGGCGCTCCCGCACCTGGCTACATCTACCGCCTCGAACCTATCGGACCGATCTCCTGGCAATCGAGCAAGCAGGAATTAATTGCTCTCTCGTCAGCTGAAGCAGAATATATTGCACTCTGCTCAGCCACCAAGGAAGGACTCTATCTTCGCGAGCTGCTGGAAGAAGCGAAGTCAGCCGAGTTACCCAACTTCACTCTGTTCTGCGACAACCAATCTGCAATTCGCATCGCCAACAAAAATGGATTCGCGAACAGAACGAAGCATATCGCTCTGCGATATTTCTTCGTGAAAGACGAGATTGAGAAGGGGAGACTTGAACTATCCTACTGTCCCACGTCCGAGATGGCAGCTGACTACTTGACCAAGAAGCTCGGAAAACAGAAGTTCGAGTACTGCATGCTGCTGACTGGACAAAGCCACGTCACCAGCAGCGACACTCCAGAAGCGAAGGGGAGTGTTGGGAACAAACAATCTTAAGCGCCTCTGTCGTGTCGAAACACCAAGGCACAAGCGAAGCAGAGCGTATCGAGGCACCAGCGAGTCAACCCTCGGAGGTTGAAGTAACCGCTGGAGGTTACGCGAAAGTCAAAGGTCAGCGACCTTTGACTTGACAAATGCAGCGCGACAGGCAAGGACACACAACTGACTCGACATTGAGCAGTTGCCCGAGTCGCACTGTATCGAACCGCAACAGTAAAACAGTTTAATTATATCTCTTCGTATTCTTTGTACTCTTATATAAACCTTTGTACTTGCTTGTTTTAATCAACTTACTTTGCCCTCACATACCAGCGCAAGGTGGTTCAAGGACTTCATTTAAACGCTTCCGCTACTACATCACTCTACCCAGAGTTTAACCCTACCAAAGATCCTAAAGGGCACTCAGCCCAACAAAAACATACATAATAATAATAAAAAGTAATTTGCCAAGCCAACTCCTGAGCACAGGTTTTGGTGACGGCAGCAGTCACCTGGGAGGCTGCGTGCGTCTGGCAGCGGCTTGGAGCAGCAGCACTGCCAGCACCACACATGCTCTACTAGTACTACCCACCATATCAAGATCTTCCCGACTCCCAAAACAAGCCCGCTGCTGGGCTTGGCACTGCGGCTGATTCAGCCGAGACAGCAGATGTGGCTGTCGTGGTGGTAGCCACGGCTGGTGCTGCTTTTGCGGCGGCGGCAGCGGCGGCGGCAGCGGCGACACATCAAGGCACTCCCCCAGAGGATCACCACCAGTGGCAGCGGTCAGGGGTGGCATGCAGAGGTCAGGTGGGCTTGCCACAAGGCTGGGGAAAGCTTGTGAGGGCAACACAGCTCGTGCTTGCAAGCACTGGCCCCTGCGAGGGTTCTGCTCCTGCTTCCGCTGGTGCTGCTGGTTGTGGTGGTGCTGCCGCTGGTGCTGCTTGTCCTTTAGTGACAGGCACAGGGACCTCTCTTGCCCATGCCTTGAGGCCTCTCCCCCATGCAGCATCCCCCACGGCCTCTCGGCCGAGATAAGTTCCAGGGGCGCTGAGTGAGAGCTCCAGCGATGGCTGCTCCTCCTCCCATTCGCCCTCCTCCCCCCGCGCCTCCTGGTTGCAGCGACAGTCTTGGTGGCGCGACACGGGTTTGCGAGCTCGCGACCACGAGCATTTGTAATAAGACCTGGCGGAACCGGCGGAAGACGGCAAATGAGCGATTAAGTCAGATTGGTATAGTAGTGAGCAGTGAAGGGGGGTGCATGTAGCGACAGCAGAGGACATGCGGGAAGCAGAACGCGAGGGGCAGGAATCATCGGGATTGTTGAGCGGACGAGCAGCAGCATCGGCGAAAGTTGCGCCGGGCAGCAGCATTAGCATGAGCATAAGAATAAAAGGTACCTCATAACAGTGTTCTTGCTGATGCGCTTCTCGCCGTACTTCAGCCACGCGTAGCCGTCAGCGTTAGCGACGTCCGTCAACGACTGCAGGTCCGGCCGGTTGATTTTGACCGCCATCGCCGGCTCTTGCGGCGCAGCCACTGACGGTGCCGCCACGGGACTGTCGGTTGCTGGTGCTATTGCTTCCGAGCGGATACGGCGAGTTTTATACGGCGGTCCGCCGGGATCCTCGGCGCAATATCCGCCGGAAGAACAAGGCTCGGAAACAGCACGTGAGAGCAAAAGGCTGCTCCCGGGAAGTTGCTGGCTCTCTGTCGTCGCAAGGTAGAAATCCATCGTGGACGCGCGTCGCGCAACCTAATAGGAGATGCGAGGAGAGAAATACTTTCCTGATTCGCTATCTTTCTGCTTGGTTGCGTAGTAAATGGTTGGTCGCTCGAGCTGGAGAAAGAGACATTCATCTTCGGCTTTCTCCTCCCCACTATTCCTCTGCCTTGAAGTTGAAGCACAATACTTGACATCTCAGATGCAACTTGGGTGGGAAGTCAGGAGTCTCGACTGTAGTAGGACCGGCGAGAAAGTCGCGTTGTTTGTTGTGATTCGTCAATGATCACTGATGAGCAAATTGCTGCTCTGTTGTCCTGCTGCTTGATTGTTTCGCGCCCTCGCCGCTCCGTCAAGTATTGCCGCACAACATTCGGTTTTCCTTCGAGTCGCGCGCGGAGCTGGTGGGTGGCCAGTGGGGTCAAGCGGACTGATGCGCGATGCCAGAACAGCACAGAAGCTGCATTCGTCAAGTGAGTCAAGTGGAGACGAGAGGAGGTTGAACAAAGCCGTGTTGGTGGTCAATACCTTCCGTTCTGCGATACAGTGCAAAATCGTCTACAACATTCTTTACACAGCAAGGCACAAATCCAATCACTCACAAACAAGCACACCATATTTCAAGCATAATATCCAAAGCAGCCATTCATTTCAATGACTCCTCATACGTGCAAAATATGCTTGGCTAGCATAGATGCAGCACACAGCACACTTATTGACCATGCAGTTTACCACACCTGATGTTCACTGTAGATAGATGGCCCTCAGTTTCCCAAGCACAGAGGGCGGCAAGTCGGGCTCTCCGAACAGCATGCTCTGCCCGCCACTGCCGGCACCCATGTCAGGCGCATCACTGCCCGGCACCACTGGCTTGGGCCCGCACAGAGCGCCATGCTGCTGTGAGAGCAGCTCGTCCAGCTGGCCCCCTGGCCTGGGCAAACGCCTGCCACTCTGGCAGCTTTTCTAGCTTCGCCTGCATGGATGGGGAGGGGGGGAAGTGGGGAGGGAGAGGGGGAGAAGGGAGGGGGGAAGAGACGGGGAAGTGAGAGATGTGCAGAGTGGCAAGGGAGGGTATGAGGGCAGGAGGTGGGGAGAGGAGGAAAGAGGGGAGGTGGAGGTGTGCTTTATCCAAAGACCTGGCAGAGTGTGTGAGACACGTGCAGTGGTGAGAGTGAGGGTACATACCTGCAGTGGTGAGAGTGAGGGTGCATACCTGCAGTGGTGAGAGTGAGGGTGCATACCTGCAGTGGTGAGAGTGAGGGTGCATACCTGCAGTGGTGAGAGTGAGGGTGCATACCTGCAGTGGTGAGAGTGAGGGTGCATACCTGCAGTGGTGAGAGTGAGGGTGCATACCTGCAGTGGTGAGAGTGAGGGTGCATACCTGCAGTGGTGAGAGTGAGGGTGCATACCTGCAGTGGCGCACTGGTGGTTGCTCTGCCCCTGATGTCAAACATGAGCTGAATGATGGGGCCTGCATGCCTGTGCACAGCATCACATGCACACATGCACACATGCACACATGCACACATGCGCACATGCGCACATGGGCACATGCGCACATGCGCACATGCGCACATTCACACATGCACACATGCACACACGCACACATGCACACGTGCACACATGCGCACACGCACACATGCACACACATACATACACCCACAACAACTACACACATGCATCCCCCCCCTTTCCCCAAACCCCCCTTGCTTTGCACACACAAGCCACATGCTCGTATGGACATAACAGCGCATGCGCACATGCACACACAAGTAAGCACACAAACACACAGAGTCAGCCCAGCTCAGAACACACTTCGGCCAGAAAATGTTCAACAATCAACACTTGGAACACCGAAGTCCTAGGCAGCGCAAGCCCTACCCGGGTCGTTGGCCAATGGGGGTGTTGATCCAGGGAGCTGCCGTCACTGCCAGCCTCACAGGCAGAGCCAGCGGGCCTGAAGGAACCAATGGCTCCGCTGCCGCTGCTGCTGCTGTCTGCTTCTTCCCCTCACCCTCCCCCTTGCTATCCCTCTCCCCTTCCCCCTTGCCCTCCTCTTGGCCCTTATCTTCTGCCCCCTTCTCTTCCTCTCCTGGCCCCTCCCTCTCCACCTTCTCCACCTCACTACTAGCAGCCTCGCTATCAGCAGTCCCACTACCACCCTCCTCCGCCCCACCACCCGTCACCTCTGCTGCCTTATCTGTCCCTTCCTCTCCTGCTCCCCCCGTCCCCCCTGCTTCCCCCTTCTCCCCATTCACGCGCCCCCGTTTGGCCTCTGGTTCTACGTCCACCTGGGGACGGGGGTCCGCCTCCCCCTCCCCCTGCCCGCTCCCCCGCGCCTTCCTCACCGCCCCCTCGTCCCCCCCTGCACTTGTTGGGGGAGTATCGGGGGAGGTGGAGGGGGGGTCGGAGGAGGCAGACTCCGCCGCAGCAGCAGAAGCAGCAGCGGATTCGGAGACAGCAGCAGCATCAGAGGTAGCAGCATCAGCAGCAGTGGTGCTGTCTGTGGTGGTGGTGCCACTGGTAGTGGCAGCGGTGGCAGCAGGTGGAGAGGAGGAGGGAAGAGAAGGGGAGGAGGAGAGAGCAGTGATGGTGGACGATGTGGAGGAGGAGGAGTCATCGGAAGGAGGGGGGTCAAGGAGAGACGAGGAGAGGGATGAGTTGGGACGCTCCAGGGCGGACTGGCGGAGGGACGCATCAAGGGAGGGGGTTTGGGAGAAGAACAGAAAGATTCGAGATTGTAAGGGAGCACTGAGGAACGGGGAATGGCATGGCGATTGATTTGGAGGAGTGATGAAGGGGGAGGTGCTACACATTGTAACGGAAAGGGAGGAGGGATACGGAAAGTGGGGGGCGGGATGTATGCACCCAATGCAACACGACCTATACATGAGCAAGCAGCACGTACCATGACGAAGCAGCACACGCCATGGTGCAGAACGTTGCTCCAGAGGAAGTCAAACAGCAACGCCGCCACCTTCTTCCCCACGTCCTCTCTCGCCAGCCTGTCATCCACCACGCGCCCACACGTCCCCAGCACCTTGCGCAGCAGCAGCAGCAGCAGCAGCACATACTTGAGGCAGCACACACGCACGTACCATGAGGAAGCAGCAGACCCCATGGTGCAGAACATTGCTCCACGGGAAGTCAAACAGCAGCGAGGCCACCTTGCGCCCCACGTCCTCTCTCGCCAGCCTGTCATCCACCACGCGCCCCACACGCCCCCAGCACCTTGCGCAGCAACAGCACCGCCAGGATGCGGTGCCGCCCCGCTGCCGGCTCTGCCAGCTTGCGCTGGCACTGCTGGGGAGGTATGGGCAGCTCCAGCAGGGAGGCGAACGTCGGTAGACTCTCCACCACCAGCCGCAGCGGCTGGGCACGCAGAAGGGAGCGTGGGGAGGGGTAAGAGGACAAAAGAGAGGGAACGCGTTCATCATTTCTTTTTAGGGGAGTGTGAGTTGTTGGACCATAGTAACATACAGGGGCGAATGGACACAAACAAGGCAGCAGCCTTGCTGCCGGTTTCGCCAGCTTGCGCTGGCACTGCTGCGGTGGTATGGGCAGCTCCAGCAGGGATGCGAACGTGGGTAGACTCTCCACCACCAGCCGCAGCGGCTGGAGATGTGGAAGGGAGGGGTGGGGAGAGATTACAGGGGAGCGGGGAGAGGGGGGAGCAGAAGTGGACAGACGAAGAAAACATTTGTTTTCATATTACGAACCATGGGGGCATGTAGGAGCGCACCAGAAAAGAGGCAGCTAACTAGGGAGCAGCACAAGCAGGCATGGAGCGCGCACGAGGGGAAGCATGTTGATGGGCGAGTTGTGGTATGACTTGGTGGGGTTGCAGCACAGGTCAGCACAGCAGCGATCAGCTCCATTCTAGGTGCCTCAACAACCATCAAAGCCTTCCGCCCACTGGAACATGTCACATAACCAACTTGTCATAATCATCTCACCAGCGGCAGCTTGCTAATAGGAGAGTTGTGGTAGGACTTGGTGGGATTGCGGCGCAGGTCAGCATCGACCAGCTCCACCACGTCCTCTAGTGCCTCCATCATCATGCGTGAGTCAAACAGCCGCGCTGCCCTTTGAAAGGGTTGCGGTGCATTGCAGGTCAGCAGCACCGACCGACCAGTTTCATTCTGGGTGCCTCAACTATCGCCTACGCTTTAAGACCCCTTGAGGCCTCTCGCGTCAAGAGAGCTCACTCACTCACCAGTGGCAGCTTGCTGATGGGCGAGTTGTGGTAGGACTTGGAGGGGTTGCGGCGCAGGTCAGCATCGACGAGCTCCACCACGTCCTCCAGTGCCTCCGCCATCATGCCCGAGTCAAACACCCGCGTCACTATGCTCCTGCTGCTGCTGCCCTCCGGTGCCATCTGCTGCAGCTTCTCGGATGCTTCCCTGATGAACCGGACGGCCGCGTCGATCTATGTGGGAACAGGACAGCGGGGAGGGGAGGGTGAACGAGAGTGAATGAGAGGCGCTGGCATAGAGAGTGCACGGTACATCGTAATGACATTAGATTGATCCAGCCATGAACGGATGTTGCTCGCTGCCACCTCTCACTATAACCCCAGGAATCCCGCGTCCATGTCACGACATTACTTTCACTTTCACCCATCCACCCCCCCACCACTCGCCTCACCCTGATCTGTGGGTTGCTCGCCTTGCTGGCCAACCCGCCCCCCATCCGCTCCCCGCTTTCAAAGCCACGTGGGTCCGCCATGCCCTGCCCCTTTCCTCCCTGCGCGCCCTTCTTCTCCTGTGCTGCTGGAGGCGGGCTCTCCTCGTACTCTATCTGCAGCACACGGGAGGCACATCAACAGGGGTATCAACAGGGCTTGAATCGTTTCAAGACTTTTGCCAAGATGGCCCTGTGCGTGGCAATGTTAGCCCACCTGGCATCACAAGATGTTTTCTGCGTTTTAACATCGCAACATGTTAACCCACTAGACTTAAAAGAGCTTCCGTGTGATAAAATTAGCCCAAGACGACATGACATTACGGACAGCCCCATGCCCCCACCCACCGCACCCACTCACCCTCACGAGCTTCCTGACAGCCTGCAGATTCGCCAGACACGCCCGCCCAGACGCCGAGATCGGATTGCGCTTCACGTTCAGGGAAATCAAATCCGGGGCGGCACTGGGGGCGGAGAGCGCGCAGGCGAGCTGGCGCAGGCCTGCATCCGATATAAGGTTCTCTGATAAGTCGACAGAGGTGACTGTCTCGCAGTGGATGAGCGCGTCTGTGAGGCGGCGCAGCTTCTTGTCGCCCACACGGCACCGCGCCAGCTGCACCCACATGCACAGGTCCGCCTTGCTGCGCATCGACTCTAATGCAGCAGCAAACCTGGAAGAGGGGAGGGGGAAGGGAGGAAGTGGGGAAGGGAGGTTGTGGGAGTTGGATCGAGAATAGTTGGGGAAAGAGATGGGAGTTGCTGGTTTAGAAGGGGCACAACACCTAAATTAGCAGCCTTCGATGGCAAAACATGCGCTATATTAATTTCTGAGTCAGCACAAGATTGTTACAGGAAAAATCAATTTGTTATTTCAGTCTCAGGGCAGGAATAACCCCTGCCACTTTCCGATTCTTAAAATCTCTTCCCCCTACTCTTCCCACTCTCCCCCCACTACTCGTTCCCTCTCTTCCCCCTCTCTTCCCCATCTCTTCCCCATCTCTTCCCCATCTCTTACCCTCCCCCTCGCTTCCCCCAAACGACCCACCTCTTTTCCGCCACCTCCACCGGAAGCATGTCATCCAGGTCCGGTTGGCACAGGGGGGCATCCGCGGACGACGATGGGGGGAACGGCGCGGCGGGCGCGGAGTTGGCGGAAGGGGAGGTGGGCGGAGAAGCGCTCGGGGAGGCGGAGCCGTCACTGGATCCCCCACCCGCGCCCTTCTTCTTGCGCTTTTTCTGCAAAAAAACCGCCAAGGAAGCAGGGGACAAAGGAGAAATATAAAAGTTTAAACAAATAAACGACAATGTTTGAAATTGACAAGGCTCGGGTTTGCGGAAAGTGGACGAAATGCGTTCTAAAGCCGGCCGGCAACAAGCTCTCTCCGTCCTGATCCCACCTGCTTTTTCTTCTTCTTTTTCCCCGTTCCGTTCGCCGTCTCCCCTCCTCCTTCCTTGGACTCGCCACTGGAACCCTCCTGTTGTCCGTCCGACACCCCTCCCGCATCCTCCTCGTCCTCCTCATCGTCCGATCCCGCGTCGGCCGCCTTGGGATCCTGAGTTTCCGGCTCTGCTTCCAGTGTGCCACCACGACCGTCGCTCATGGCTGCCGAGCGATTATTATACCCACGGCGATTAAAACAGGACAGGGACTTCCAGGCCTAAGCAACGATTTATAAAAGGGCAAATATGAGAGTTTTTTTGCCGCTGTAACTTATCCCTAGCAGAAGAGGCGTTGTGAATACGGTGAAGCTTGCGCAATGACGAGCGATATAAGGGTGCCCGTTGTAGAATAACCACCAGCGAACACTGGATGAAGGAACAACGCAATGGTGGTTTGGGGTAGGCTGGGGGGGGGGTAGCAGCCAATGAATGTCAAATGAAATGTTTTTGCGACACAATTTCTGATCACGTTTCATCGGAATTTCTTGTGATGTTAATCCTTACTATTTTCCCGATTTCCTTAACCAGATGATCGATTTCTCTTTAACGAGGTCTAGAGCTTCAGCGGTGCCAGGCAGAGGCGCCTGCGCGCAAACTTTGCCATTCGCTCCGCACCCCAACTAAGGCTTCCCGCCCACAGCTGTCGGGCCCCTGACACACAGGGCGACACCACACCGAACTGTAGCACAAGCGCTGAAACGCGCTTGGCACATTTTAGGGCGCGGAAGGGGAATGTTTGCGCCGAACAGTTCAGCGGCAGGAGCCCCACAGCCAGATTCCAGGGGGGGCTGGGATGCGGAACAGATGTCTCCTGGCGAAATTCTCCAGGTTTTCCTCTGCATCTGCTTCATGGTCCCAAGAGATCTCCTCTCTTGCCAATCAAGCATCACTTGTGTTCTATTTTCTTTTCAGGCTGCTTAGCATTTGGGCCGCTTAGTGTGCTAGTCTTCTGCTTCTCAGGGATATCAAGGCATACGAAGCTTCCGTGCTTTCGTGTTCTCTATCGACTCTGAGCGAAGTCGCCATGGGTCAGCTCATCTATTCTTTCGTGGCCAGGGGCACGGTAGTTCTCGCTGAATATACCTCTTTCAAGGGCAACTTTAACACCATCGCCCTTCAGTGCCTGGAGAAGATGCCACAAGAAAATAACAAGTTTACGTTCCCCCATGGTGGCCACACACTAAACTATCTCCTGGAGAACGGATATGGTACGGATATGGATCTACGGTAGATGAAATTAGCACATGTGTTTCCTCCGTGGTCTTAACGTGCGAATTGTGAATCTGCAGCCTATATGGTCCTTGCGGACCAAGACGTCACCCGGCAAATCATATTCGCCTTTCTGGAGCGTATCAAGGATGACTTCAACGCCAGATATGCTAGCAAGGCTGCGAATCTTGGAGCCCATGCCTTGAACAAGGAGTTTGGGTGAGCTTTTCCACTTTTACCGCTATGGCTTTTATGCTTATCGTTTCCTTCTAGATTTGAATGACTGATTCGTACATTCAGGCCGAAGCTGAAGGAGCACATGAAGTACGTGGCCGAGCACCCTGAGGAAATGAGCAAGTTCGCCAAGATTAAGGCACAAGTGGCTGAAGTTAAGGGCGTGATGAAGGATAACATTGAAAAGGTGAGAGCCACTTTCATTCATGGATTTCCGGAACCCGTAGCATTGTGCGCCGTTCTTACCAGCTACCTTGGTGTTTCAGGTTTTGCAACGAGGCGAGAAGATGGAGCTTCTAGCGGAGAAGGCCGACGTTCTGTCGACTCAGGTAGGGTCGAAGTTTTGAAAGCTTGCTCTTAAGGTATGTGTAACGTTGCATCTTCTGACTCAAGCACTGCTGTACTGGTTTGTGCAGGCTAGCCAATTTAAGAAGCAAGGCACCGAGATTAAGAAAAAGATGTGGTGGGAGAACATGAAGGTGAAGGCTGTTGTAATTGGCATTTTGGTGGTGCTCGCTTTGATCATTTGGCTCTCCATCTGCCATGGATTCACTTGCCAATGAGAAGCGGTTTGAGGCTGACTGTACATTAGCAGAATATGTTTCAGCTGAGCATTAACCTAGTGCTCATTTTGCTTTCTCTAGAGCATAGCAGCTTATCGTATTTGGTCTTTCTATTGAATTATGACATACTCATACCGTAGTCAAGTACTTCACGCCCAGTCAATCATATTGGAGAACACATTAGTATTCGGACGCTCTGCACTACTGGTTTGGCATGGATCCAACAAAAGAACTGCAAGTCTAGAAGCCAGTGCATGAAAAGCCAACATCCATTCCTCCAACATACTGCAGGTGGCTAACAAAAGCATGTAACCTTATGCATGTTAGGGTAAGTGGGTTCATATTTTATCAGCCTTATGTACAATAGCCTCATGAACGACGCATGCGCTTCGCTTTCTGCTCCTCGGAAAATTGCTCGACATCGTGAGCAGTAATCACATGGTCAGTACCTGCAAATTTTGCCTGCAAAGGAAACAATAACGAGGTGAGAAGAGGGATAGAGGGAGAGGAGGGGAATGGAGGGGAGGGAGGGAGTTGAGGGGAAGGGAGGGGAGGGAGGGAGTTGAGGGGAAGGGAGGGTAGGGAGGGAGTTGAGGGGAAGGGAGGGGAGGGAGGGGAGGGAGGAAAAAAAATTGGGACTAAGGGAAGAACGGAAGAGGATTGAGAGAGGGGGGGTTGGAGGGGGATGCTATGGCGACAAGTGGCTTTGAACTGCTGACAGACCTTGCCAGAGAAGAAAATGTTAAGCTCTAGTGGCATTCTGGTGTTCAGACTTACCAAAAACTCCTGAAAATCGGACTTGAAGCTGTTCAGGCCATGAATGATTTCCAACTGGGCAACCCGGTCCATGCTCTGAAACTGAGCTTCAACCTGTACACTAGCTTCCTCCTCCTTTTGTTGCCGTTTCTTCTTCGCTTCTTCCTCATAGAATTCGACAGTATCCTCGACATCAACAAGGAAGTCCACCCCTTGCTCCTCGTAGAACCTGAAGAGAGCGGCAGCAACATGAAATGTGTGAGGCCCTAGATATGAATTAAAATCAAGAGCATAACTCCTGATCAAAGCCACACCTGGTGCATTCTTGGCAGTTGCAGATGGAGGCCCTCCACCTTATGAGAAAAAGAGGACCGACTTCGAAATCATCTGAACCTGCAAGGGCGTCGGCGTCTGCAACTGCACTAGTTGCCTCTACTGAACCATCAGTGACATTTGGACCCGTTGTCAAGTGTTCAACCTTCAAGGTACTTGTTGAAACACCCACAGTTTTCTTTTTGAGAAAAGAGCTTAAAGTTCGCCCCCTCAAAACAGAGGCTAGCTTGCAATCTGCTTCACTGTCTGTGGCTGTAGTACCAGGACCAGGACGTACATCAAGAGCGCCTTCATGAGATGAGCAAGAGTGCTGCTGAGGTTTGACAGCATCCACATTCTCAGCATGATGTCCACGAGCGGCTACTGCATCATCCCATACTTTGATGCCTGAAACTTCAATACTTGCTTCGTCCCCATTGGCATCCGCCTCCTCTTTGCCCACCACTTGAATTTTGTTTTCATTCCCACATAAAGGAACGTCACCAGCACGTTCTGGAGCTAGCAAGAGCTGAGGATACAACTTCAAGAAACGGCACTTCAAGGAGGCGCAGTGGTCACATATCAAATTCGAGAAATCTTCAGGGGCCTGCAAAAAAACAGAAGTTTCGATATAATGTATGCTGGACAAGCCAGAAAAAACAACGGGTTTCTAAGGCATACCTCAAACCCGGGCTCAAGGCCCAGATGATGCTCATGGAACCAATCTTCGCACACAACACATTGTATCATGTCCGTTTCTCCGCCTCCAGCTTCGTCCTCTGGATCAGGATATGGCCTTCGACAGTTGCAGTATACACCCGCATAATTCTGGTTGTACTCGTTGTGCTCGTTCAAAGGATCTTTGTCAGGTTTCAGCTGGCATGAAGGAGCAACCGACCCGTGAAACTTGGATGTGCCGCAGTCACACCGGAACCGACGCTTCGTATAGAGCTCCACAAGCTAACACATGGGGGGAAAATGGCAAGGGATGAGATGTATGCGTGAGGGACGGAGCTGCAGAAAAAGTGCTTCCCGGAGAGGCAGAGGTGTGGAATCGACGTGATGAAACGATCAGTACCTCATGCCCATCATGACACTTCAGTGAGCATGAAGTGCAAATTCCCGCCGGCTTCCAGTCATCAGACACTATGTCTCTTGAGTCCGCACGACTGCTTCCTCCACTCTTTCCATCACTTTCTTCAGTTTCCTTGGACGGAGTTGAAATTTTGGGCGGAGGCACGCACGTAAGGCAGGAATAGAGAGCCTGTCGCTTACGGTAGCCCATGTCGTATGTGCACTTGTCGGGATCATCCGCACCGAGCACCGCGAACGCTTCCTGTGGCAGGCATAACGTTCATGCGCCGTGCGCCCAACATGGGTTTACGGATCACACGAAACTGAGGATTTGTACAAGTCTACTACGAGAATACCGTAAGACTGCTATGTGAAGCAGAGCTAGTGAAAGAGAAATGAGAAATGTGTGAGGACACGGACCTCGACTCTCTCCTCATACTCGTCTGCCGTCATCGCCTCCTCCTCCTCCTCAAATATATCCGCCATGGAAAGCGCGGCGTAAAAAAACGCAAGAACAAGATGCAAGCAAGCGAAGATCAGAAAGCCAGAGTGCCAAGCCTGTCACAGAATGGCAGGAGCAATCAGCCTGGATGACAGAAGCCAAATTCCTTGCCTGCATGAAGCAGCTGGATGTTTTTGGTGGGCATTGCCCGGAAACCGCAGCACAGAAAATGAACGCGGGAGTCGTTGACAGCCGTCGATTAAAAACGAATGTTTGTATTTCACGGTTGGGATGTACCTTAAAGCTACAATCGCGTACATCGCTACACGTTCACAAAGTTCTACAAATGACAACAGTTATGTCATGTGCTTGCATTGTTGAACAAACTCCAGCCAAATGTGCACTTCCTTGCATTCACGGATCAATTTTCCAGCGATTCATCAATTTCGCCAGTGCCCTCCAGCTATTGGTGTAATGGACACTCTGCCCATTCGCGTCCCCACAAGCGATTCCGTCCGTTCATCGCCACCACGGTACCGCATCGCATGCGCTTTCGCGCCGAAGAAGGTGCGATCCTTCCTGACGCCGTCGCTGATCGCCGCATGCTTCTCGAAGGGCATCGAAATCGTCCCCGTTGATCCTTCCCGAAGCCTTCTGGAGTACCGGAGTAGTAGCGAGGAAAACGAGCTCGCCACAGATGTCCCGCAAAAACCGCCGTTTGATGCGGTAGTGCATAAGGTGCTCACGGCCGAATGGGCTGATCAGCTGCGGATCTTAGCTGAACAATTTCCCACTTTCGCTGGGCGAATTGTCGACCCGACAGAGAGAATCGCTCGCGTGTGTAATCGCGCTTCTATGCTTCAAGGCCTGCTTCCTGATGCTGACACGTGTCAGGCCACTGAAATCTCGAAGCTGGCAGGAGAAGAGAAGGCAGCAGTGGGAGTGGAGGTGACGGGAGGTTGGCGAAATGGGGAAGGGGAAGAAGAGGGCCGGAAATGGGAGATAGTGCCTGGTTTCTTCGTATGTGTGCCTCAGCAGATGGTGCTTACTCTGAGTGAGCTAAGGCGGCTAGCAGGAGATCCCCAAGAAGGCCCCAGTGGCTCCTCGTATTTGCAAGACGTTTTACAGAGTCAGGGTCTATCTTGTCCTCTGGTGGCCAAGCCTGTGGAAGCTAATGGCAGCACTGCGTCCCATTCCCTCTCTCTTGTCTTCAACACTCACGGCCTCATGGCACTTGCTCATTCCCTTGAAGCCGTTCCAACCACTACCTCCCCAGCCTCCGCTGTTGATGCTGCTGCTGTCGCTCCTGATGCTGATACCATGGGTGCTTGTATCCCGGCTGTTGCCTCCGTATCTGCTCAGAAGCATGCAGACTGCAAGGAACCCTCAATAGTCTTGCAGCAATTCATAAACCACGGCAGCCGACTCACAAAGCTCTATGTCGTTGGCTCATCCGCGCGATGTGAGGTTCGCCCATCTCTTCCTGATGTAGCCCCTTCCCAATGCCAACCGGATGTTTCTCCTGGTTATCTACCCTTCTCCCATGTATCAAACGTTCCTGTACCTCAGCCTACTCACCTTCCAAACGCTGGCAGCAGCACAGACAGCAGCATGAACATGGGTACAGATGACCTTTGGCCTGGCCCTCTGCCAGATGGAGTGGCGGATGCTTTGGGAAAACACTTGCGGGAGCAGCTGGGGTTGAGACTTTTCAATGTCGACATTGTGAGGTCTGTTGCATGCCCCAACAGGTTCTTTATTATCGATGTCAACTACTTTCCGGGCTTTGCCAAGTTGCATGGGTATGAAGAATTGCTATCGGACTTTTTCCTGAGCCTACTGCAGAACAAATGAAATCAATATTACTTGAAACCTGCTAACTGTGCCAAGGCTGCTTTCCTGAAAAGATGTTGTGCAGCAGTGATGTTGCTGACTTGAGCTTCACAGCGTTTTCTTGTGTCACCTTTGCAGCTTAGCTTCATTGAGTGCTAGCCGCAGCAGCAGAGTATCATCAAGCGAAACATGGTTTTCAGATGGCTTCCACACAGGAAAGATGTGGGCACTGGGAGCTGCCGGGGTTTCAAGAAGCTGTGAGTGGGGAACAAGTAGAATGGATAACGGTACAAGGATGAAGAGGCAGGCCGGAGGGACAGGTTAGTACGGGTGAATGAATTCTGTGGACTGAAGTGACGATTACATGCCGTGAATTGGTAACAGTTGATGTGGGCATTATTGGCAAATAGACGTACTTGATAGCCCAGCTGGTGATATAGATGATGTGCTGCTGTGTTTGATGCATGCACATGAACATACACCTCTTCAGCACCTGAAGGGCACGCTCATACACACAGAAACACAAACACGGGCCACATGCATACCGGTAAATATGGAAGCAGAGGGAGTGTTGAGTACATGAACAGAAGCGGAGCATGGAAAAATACATATTGGCCCACACTTAACCCACCGTTTTTTTGTCGGTACCCCTTTATAACTCACCCCATTCTGCTGCAACGTCGGCTGCAGCACGCATGAGAGCTGCAGCAATTCCTTGTCGCCTGAATGTGTTTGATACGCACACATTTGATATGTACGCATAGTATGGTCGCTCCAACACCACTTGCCCTGAAGGTTCATGCTGCTGCTGCTGCTGCATCTGCTTTTGAAGTTCCTGTACTGCCATTGGAACTTCTTGTTTCTGCTCTTGTAATTGCTGCTCCATTGATGCACTTGGCTGCTTCTGTTGGACTGCCTGCTGCGACCGACTCTTCTCATTTTGCTGCAGAAGCATGGCTTCAGCTACCACTAAGCCCGTCAAATGACGAGCTCTCTCGTCACTCTCCTGCGCCGCTGCCTGCCATGCATCCTGAACAAGCCAGTAGAACAGGAAAGATAGTGCATCTCAACTACAAGAGTGCAGGTCACACATCAAGATCGGAAAGTGGAACCGAATGGGGAAAGCCTCAAATCTGTAAATCTATGAAGTATTTGAGATAGAAGTAAATCTTAATGTGGGATTGCGAAGTTACCTGGAGGTCAGAAATGGCGTTGTTGAGGAGAGAGGAGGCAGAGGCAGGCAAGCTGGAAGGGTACCGGCGAATTTCAGCTTGGATGCCGCTTACAGCCGATCCAATACCATTCACAGCTGACTGAATGCTGCTTGCAGCTGACCCAATGT